TGTGTTTTCCCAAACCTTTCCATGGTTTGGCTAATGTTTGCTGTTGTATGAAAAGTGACCGAGTTGCTCATCTACTCTTCTATATTTTGATGTTAGATAAAGTCTGTTCATCTTTCATTTGTGTTGGGAAAAAAGTTTAGCTACCGGAATGGCTTCCTGCAACTTTTATCAGAGTACTTTGAACAATATTTGAACAATGACACTCGTTAACAATATTTGAAAAATGATTGTAAAATTATTTTGGCAAAAAAGGTATTTGAGGTACTTGTACCTCTGGAAGACGTGATCTTCAAATTATTTTTGCACCCGATGTGACCCTCTAACTCAGAAGAAAAATCTAATGTGACCTTTTAATCAATGTTTTTCGTCATTGATTGTTACAGTACTGACGAGATAATTCATAGTGCTGAATGTTGGTGTGACGGTCTACGGTGTTAACATGATAATCTAAAATGGAATGAAAATGATAGTTGAATACAAAATGTGTAATTTACCTTAGATTTTTTTTGTCCACCTGAATCTGATTCGAATATAATATCTTCCGTCTGTAATTTAATTCAACCTGGATTTAGATAAGTTTTATTGACCCAAATTTTAACCTAATTCTTTAGATAATACTTATATCCACATTTGATTGGATTTGATCCAACCAAAAAAAATGTATATAAATTTCTTTTTATCAAGTAAAATTAAAATTTAATTAAAAATTATAAATAAAAAATTAAAATAATTAAGTCTAAATATATAAAAATTAATTACATTATATCAAAAGTCAAACTTAAATTTTCTTTAGAAAATCTAACCTTCCCAAAATAAGGAACCACATATAAGGACCTTTAACCTTCACCTATACTTGCAAGAAGGAAAAGGTTATCGCTTACGAGTCTAAAAAGGAAAACATGACATTCATCTCAATGGCAATTATGGCATGTTCCTCGACCTGCAATAAGAAAACTGATGCAACACTTTACGGCATAATGGAATTTAAGCAAACCAATAAGAAATAACAGCCTATTGGTATTTGGATCAACATCATAACAGAAATCAACAGACTGAACACACTAGTATAAAATGCGTAATGTTCGGATAAACTGGTTAGACTGATCATTTTTAAGGTTCGAGTGTGCTTTCCATGAATGCCACAAATCTGAATAAAAGTTGTCTCTGTACAAAGTACGTTGTTCATGCCCTCCGGTAGCCTTTTTACAAGGGACCATGCAACATTATCAAACTGATCCAACATTTTGCAGCATACTGGAATTTAAGAAAACCAATAACCAAGCTTTGCAAGCTACACCAGTGAATGAAATTAAAAGTGGTTTCTGCCTTTCCAATCCCCATGCTCCTCCTAATTCTTCTTTTTGGTTACTCCTGCAAAATATAGAAATAAAAATGTATCTTTTAGAGGATAGAGGGATAACATGAAGCAAATAATACTACCAATCGATTGATGAAAGCACCGTTTGGACATGTTATATGAATTAACAAGAGGGTTAGCACCCCAACTTGCATCGCCGAAACAATAGTAGTTTTGATTGGAAAGGGGTCATCTCAGTTGGAAGTTAATGGTTTCTAGAAAATGGCTCATTGCAGATGTTAAAATCTGTTCAGAACTAAGCATAGCTTGCAACAAATTTTCAAGTCACTTCTCGTATCTAGGAATGGGCATGGACAGGTATAAGAAAATGGAAAACTGTCATATTATTTCCTTTTCACTATTTTCACTATTTTATCTTTTTCTTCTTCCTTTTACCTTCTCTATTCTTCTTCCCTCTTTTCATACTCTTTTTTCTTTGCCACTGAGCAAGCCAGCACCACAGCCTGCAGCCAAGCAGGCTAGGAGCTGGTAACAAATGGTGCCAATTTGGCCAAATCTCATGCCACCTAGTGCCGATCTGGATCAGAGGGCCCGGATCAACACTGGCCAACCTCCCTAAGGCCTTGGCGGTTGAACATTGGATTGGTGGCTGGTGCCAGCAGTGATTCCAGCAGCTGAGGAGCAGAAAACAGAGAAAGGAGAAAGAGGGAAAGAAAAATGGAAATTAAAAAAAATTGCTCCCCATCTCAACATTTTCCTTATTCTGACACCACTTTCCCAAATCATTATATTTATTAGCGGGTTTTTTTATGATTCGTAAGGCATATTCCATCAAATAGTCCTTTTGTTTGTATCTTGAACCAAATTAAAGTAGAGCAATGTTATTGAATATAGCTGAAAATGGAAGATTTGGTATTTATCCCTAACAATTAATTAACAGCCGACTTCCAAACCAACAACAATAATAAAGCAGGAAAATTGAAATACAAAAACCAACAAACCCTACGCCGATGCCATAAAGCCCATTACAAGCCTTCTAGAGCTGCAGTTCAGAAGGATTAAACAATGTTCCATAATAGCAATGATAATAAGCAATAAGGCTTTACCGTATTTGCAAATTGAATATTAAAGCATGCATACAAACATGCATCAATTATTGACCCAAGAAGCATGTATATAATCAATTTTGCATGTCATTAGATGTTAACATAGGGACCACTTCCAATACTTCTTCATATTCATCGGCTAAAATTATAGGGTGTCAAAAACCACAAAACAACCTTCAATCTATGGACTAAATTAGGATACATCTTCAATTAAACTTTCAATTTCACCAAAAACCTTAAATCAAGCATCTAAACTCTCATTCCAATAGTTCCCATATACTTGGTCAAGTAAAGTCCTCCTAGCAAGCTACACGTACTGGCTCATATATTATTAGTTCTCAACCAAACCTATCACAACAATTTAAAAGCAAGAATGAAAACCATGAAATGAGAAGATTCTCATCAACTCACTTCCTTTCGAAGAAATTCACAATGAGAAACCTTTCCAAGCATCAGGGTGCTGGAACACTGAAGAACCAAGACAACTCAAACCATAACACCAATCTGGAAGGTGTTATATTCAACTTCCCCATTCCAAAAAAGTGTACATCCTCTTAGCATAACAATCTATGGGAACATAACACTTATGAGTGGCAGGACAATTTTGAAGAGCTGATAATTCAGTTAAAAATTATGCTTGAAAAGCACATATAGTTAGAAACAAAAGTTTGAAAAGGATTATACGGCAAGAAATAAACAAAATTCTCTTCAATACACCACTCTACAGGCAAAATAACATTATAATGCCCAAACCCCAAGTAGTATTTCTTCAAAATACGAATGGAATAAACCAAAGTAACCAACCAAACAAGGATAAATAAAGAGTTCAGAAGTAGTAAATAATATACTAGAAACAAAAGAGAGAAAAGGAAGATGAAGGAAAGAAGTATGATTTGGGGGATTGAGAAGGAAACTAACCAGAGATGTGGGTTTGATTGGAAAAACAAGAGAAGAAATGAGATTAGCCAACATGGAAGGGACCGATATCACCACTTCTGAGAGAGGCAGCGACTTCATCAGCGATTGTCAAGCAAGAAAAAACCCATCCACAACATCTTTGCCATCTCTAGAGCCAAGCCCAACGGCATCGCCATTTCTTTCCTTTCTTTGAAATCAACAAGTAAAAGTGGTCAGGTTATGGGTTTCGTGTATCTATCAATCAAACCTTTTCAGGGTGGAGAAATCCAGGAGATTAAGAATCAAGTTGAATTAGGTTTTTTTTTTTTTTTGCATCAATCAATATACCCTTTTCAGGGAAATAACCCAGGAGATTGAGAATCAACAAGTATAGGGGGTAAATTACACTGTAGCTTTGCTATACTATGAAAAAAAATGCAATATTGGTGTAATTTACCCGTTTAACACACAAAAGGACCAAAAAAGTAAAAAAAAAAGGAAAAAAGAAAAAGAGAGATGAGAATATTGAAAGAAATATGTATTATTCTTTCAATATAAATTATATACAATTTTTCTCTAATCCATATATTTATAGACGAAAAATTCCATCAGAACATTCCATAGGAAGGAAAATTCCAAGGAAAAATATATGAGATGTTAGGTATTGACCAATGTCATAGCTCATATGGATAGCAGATGGCCTGCAAAAAGGCTAGAATTTGCAGCAGAGGTGATTGTAGATGCTTTGAAGGAAGTCGGTCACGGTGGTATGACAAGGCAAGATTTAAGAGATGCAACTCGGATGCAACTCGGTGATACATGTTTGCTGGATTCTGTTTTGAAATCAATGAACAATTTCATTGTTGGATGTCACATTGTATGCCGTGGAATTAGTTCAGCACGGATTTTAGAATATACGATTCACGACATAGACAATCCGGTTAAGGTATCAGAAGCAAAGGAGATATATCAGAAACCTCTACCAGAAGTTCTGCCTGCTCCTGCTCCTGTCCCTGGAACTGATGTGTATAACGATGTGGTGTATTTGTATAATAACACACTACTGAACTATCCAGAATCAGACTTGCTGGAACTTGCCACTCAGTCAGTTCTAGATAGCAAACACTTTGTGATGGACCAGCCATTTAGAGATGAAGATGACCAGTTGTTGAGATTCTTTTGCCGAGTCATGCCCGGCTTGTTTGAAGTGGAGAATATGTCGACCGAGATATCACCTATGGTTGAACTTGTCATCGTTCAGTTACACGCCACGGTTCTTGACCTAAAACAAGCCGCTGAAAAAGCGTTGAGGGATACGAATTGCATTTTGGATAAGTTTGTGGTGACAGAAATCGACAACCTGGGCGAAATGGAGGATAGAGATGTGTCTGGTCAGAGGGAGCGGAATAGATTTGGACAGTAATCTGAGGCACGATGGCGGTTCCGGTAATTGGATAGTCAGATGCGTGTGCGGGGCTCGGGACGACGATGGGGAGAGGATGATAGTGTGCGATATCTGCGAGGTGTGGCAACACACACGCTGTATGAAACTCATACAAATAAACTGCCTCAGGCTTCAAATAAGTTCATATCCAATGGGAATTAAATAAAATCGATTACATATTACAATCATACTATAAATTCAACTCAAGACAAACTATATCAACTTGAAGACAAACTAGTACAATTTACAAGCATCGACCCCATTGTTTTAATTCAACTCAAACATCATACTGCTCTAATTGAACGTCCCTGGCCTTCAAAGGTTCATATTCTCCCAGATAAACTTCCAGGTGGTCCGACAAGGCAGATTTGTCGATGTTTTCATGGTGGTAAGATTTGCAGACGAAGTAAAGCACGGTCTGGATGACTAATCCAAAGAGTGTCAACATGGAATGTAAAAACAAAGAGAATACTGCATACACGACCCTCGTGCCCACGCCGGAGCCGCTCCCGTGAATCACCAGCGTCTGAAATGCAGACTGGATGGCGACGGCGGCGATCCCGAGCGTCAGATAAATGAGCACCGCCACCCATGTGTTCCCCTTTATCAGGTTCTTGCCCTTGACCATGGCGTTGAAACCGTATGCCTCTTCTAAAACGGAAACGACGCTGGCCAAGTGCCAGATCACGGTCAAATACAAAAGCCCCACCAGATAGAAAATGACGAAAAAAACGAACACGACCGCCAAACCCAGATCGCTCCGCCCGACTGAAATGGCGGAAACGAACAAGACGGCAAACGCTACGACGTTGTAGGAAAACATGGCGACGAAAATGCATAAGAAAGTAACCAGGAGCCGCTTCCAGACCTTGGGAACGACACTGATGACCTTGTTGAAACTGAGTTCCCGAGCTGTGTATATGCAGGCGATGGTGTAAACGACGGCGGCGGTCGAGAGAAGCGAGAAGATGAAAAACAGGGTGAAGTAGGCGGCTTTGAAGAGCCAAAAGTAAGCCCACTCGTCGGAGACAAGGTCGGAGAGTTTTTCGTATTTGGGAGTGCCGGATCGAGTGTGGTCGAGCTCGATCTCGTTGTGGATGATTCTGCCAAAGACGAGATTCGAGACTTCCATGTGAACAAGGTAGATGAATGATAGAGGAAGGATTAAAGACAAAGTGATTTTGCAGAAGGTTTTCCTCCATGCAGAGATGGCTCTGTAGGATTCATTGAAGATGCCGAAGAAGCCAACGAATTGCATCTCTTCTTGCTCTTTGTCCATGATGCTTTCGAGTTGCAGAGAAAGAGAAAACAGAGAGATGAAGACTGAAGAGATTGGAAATGGTGATGACAGGAATATGGGGGAATGGATTATATATATCTACTACACCAAAAACTATTGGATGAATCCGGTTTATTACGATATTAGTAGTCTAATTTATAATATTTTATTATTAGATAAACTCGGCTCATCACGTCTTCCGTCATCTCTACTATTAACATTTCTTATTTTATTTTTTTAACGTGAATTTTCAACTTCTTTAACCGTGTAAATAAAAAGCAGACAATTATTTGAAATTTATTTTAAAATTAATAAATGTAATTCATTAAAATTATAAAAAATATAATGAGTCGAGTCCATAAAATAATCTATCCCGAACCAAGTCAAGGTCAAATTATACACATTTTCCAAGAAAAGTCTACCAAAGGCGGTTTAGAAAAGCGGATGTCGAAGCTTCTCTTACATATTCCAAACCAAAAGTCATTCCTTTGAATGAGCCAAATCAAAACACGCATGTCTCTTGATTATTCAACATATGAAGTAATTGAAAAATAGGCTTTTTTTCTAACCCCAAATATACTTAGGGTAAATCATGTCTTTAATACCTAAATTATTAATTTTAATCCGTTTTAGTACCTAAACTTTTAATTTTTTTAGAATCATATCTAAAGTTTAGTTTTTGTTTTTATTTTAGTACTATGTTCAAAATTTAACGTCAATTCTTGAAAAAACCGAAAGTGTATGTACTAAAATTGAACCAAAACTGATGGTTTAGTTACTAAATGCGCTAAGTTTTTAACGGTTGTGTACTAAAATGAAACAAAAATGAAATATTAGGTATGATTTTGAAAAAATTAAAAGTTTCGGTACTAAAACAGAGAAAAAGTAATAGTTTAAGTGCTAAATATATAGTTTATCCATATGCTTATTAAAAAGATTTTTTAGTTTGACAGTAATATAATAAGGGTTTATCTATATAAATTTGAGCAAATTTTTCTTTTTCTTAGTGATGTTTTAAAAATAATAATTTGATCATTAACATTGTCAATTTATAACAAATAGGTCACTCGACCGTTAATAACCATTAATGGGAAAAATAAAATATTGATTTGGTACATTAAATCCCTAGTTTCTAAATTCTGCTAAGCTGGTTTAAATTAATTTTAAGAGTTTAGTCTTTTTATTAGTTACATATTTAAAGGGAGACCTAGTATGTTTGGCTTCGACACTATTTTCACATTTATTAATTTTTTTTTATCAAGATTACATAAATGATTAATTTTGATGAGTGTTTTTAACGAGTTCGCATTCGTCTGTTCTAATCTAGCATGTCACATATTAAGAGAGTTAATGATATAAACAGAAGTGGTGACATTATTATTTCCGCTTAACATAGATTTTATGATAAGCAAACCTCCGTTTAAATGTCATTTCCCCACATAGTACATATAACATGTCTATCGGCTCTTGTATTAATATTTTTATTGTTCAGCATGAGCTAAATTATCTTAATAAGTAAATGAATGATTGTTATCTCTAAAGACCTCATATTCAAGTATCGAAGATTATAAGTATTTGGACGTTCATTGTCAAATAGCTGAGTATTTTAAACATTTAAACATTATTGTTAGATGTTATAGTTAAACATTATTATAATGGATTAGCATTCGTACGCAATAAATTAAGAAAAATCCTCAATAGCCGACACGGAAATTAACTCTTGAATTCATAAATTTTTATAAAAAATCCAATGGTTAATTTGACCAAACTTATCAAGTTGAAGGACCAATTTTATCCGGATTGAACTTGACAAATGTAAGGTTTCTTTGGCTCAATATACCACCTCAGACTTTATTTTACAATCTACGACAAATGCTACAGTAATATAAGGACTCGTCAACATAGGGACTCGTCCCTCTACATGAAGAGTTTGCTTGGAATTTTTTTAATGGTCTAGTTAAGTGGTCCCATGTGGGCCAATATTCTAACATATAAACAAAAGTTCGTCAGCTTGAGATGACAAGTTCTGCAGGATTTTTTTTTTGAAAAAAATAAGTAAATAATTTAAAAAATGAAAAAAAATAAAAGAAAAACATGAAGTGTTCCCCTTGAATTAAAAAAACAGTTGTTGGGTAACATGTAACTGCAACGGTCAACATGAAACTCGTCACATCGACGTAACGAGTTCGCTCAGATTTTTGAAAAATATAGCCATTTATAGCCGTTGGGTTTGGGGTTATAAATAAAGGTTAGGATTTAAGACTTTTATTATGTATTGTTAAGCAAAAAAATTGAAAAAATCATAGTTTTTGAAGAATTCCTGAAAAATGTCTACCCGTTAAGAAATGTTACGCCTTGATGATGTCCATATTTTTTCGGTCGAACTCGATTTGAAAGTAGAACGGAGTATTCATCAATGAGGAATGACATTGAGAGACCCGTAACAGCGGTTTATTATATATCTACAACAATCTGGGTTGTATCCAACCACATTTTTGCGTGGTTTTAAGGTGAACCTAACATTGATTTCAGCTCTAATTGAAAGTTGGAGGCTCGAGACGTATACTTTCCATTTTTTGTGTCGAAGCCGTTTTTCACCCGGGTAGGGGAAAAACTAGTTCGACGATGGGGTTTTTCTTTAAAAAGGTTTGTGAAATGTTGGGAGTCGCCAACAATCATTTTAAGGTGTGATTGGAACACCTAAAATCAGGTAATTTTAATAAAAAATTATTTTATCAAAAATACCAAATTTTGTCTACGAAAATCAGAAATCGGGTTCGAGAGTCAGTTATGTATAGGGAAGGATTAACACCCCCACATCACCCAAAAATTGGTACTTGTGTATTTAAATTGGAAATTTTGAATTCAAGGTTTTATTTAAATTAAAATTCATTATGTATGCAAGGTTTTTTTGAAAATGATATCGATTTATTTCGGGAATTAGCAGTGGTCATCCCTTTAGCATAATGCAGAGGATACACTATTATTAACTCCTTGGTAAATAAACATTGCCTTATTTTGGAGACTTGATGCAATCAAACAATCAATTATTTAAGCCTAATTATTCTAGGTAATTAATTAAGGCTTCCCCTAACCTAAAGTGTCAGTTTATATAATTTAAAGAACCTAAAGGACTAAACCTAGAAACGAAGGCTCTACTATTAATTCTATTTGATTTTAACCAGTTATTGAATCAAATAATCGAGATGGTCCCCTGGGCATTCAGCGAGGGGCAACTCAGATTACTCCCTAAATTAAAGGACTAGGTTGAAATCTAACATAAAGTGGAGGCTCTAATTGAAGATCTAATTAATTATGTTAAATGAAAACCTAATTAAAGAAGTGATTAAAGTATGAAAGATCTAAATCTAAGGGCTAAATTTGAAGTCTAAGGCTCTAATTATGGACTAAATTAAAAAAAAACTTAAACTAAAAGGTTAACCCTAAATCTAATAAATTAAAGAAAGCATTAAACTTAAAGAAAATAAATTAAATGTGTCACAATAAAATAAAATAAAATAAGATAACAAGCATGCATAAAATCTAAATGCACTAAAATAAATAGTTACAAAGTCTAAATTTAATATACTAATTTATACTAGGGTTAATAATCTAAGGACTAAATTAAAGTCAAAAACAAAATCCAGGGACCAAATTTAAAAATGACCATACAAGCTCATAATAGAGACTAAATTAAATATTCGTTAAAATATAACATGCAATTTGAGAATTTAAATAGTGACCTAAGTGTAAATACACTCTAAAATTATAAGGGCTGGAGGATAGTTTTCTTAGTTTACAAGTTAACATATAAAATACAAAAAATTGTAAAATAAGGCCAACAAGATTGAAACAAAATCAACAGTCATTACAGGTGACCAAGATAGAAATACAAGCTGAAAATGTAAGGATATTAAGGAAATTAACCCTAAATTTAATACGTAAAACCTAATTTTAAGATAATATCACCCTAAGCCAATGAGTGTTGGCACAAGTGGTAGGGATTCAGAAATTTGAACTTATAAGGTCAAGTTTGAATTTTACCACCGTCACTCTTGGTGTGCAATCTGTAAAATCCTACGTAAATCTCAATTGAGTCTTAAGTATGCTCTGGCCCTGGATTGAAGTAACCACCCCTGACCTAAACTTTAATGTAACCAAAAAAAAAATCTCGCCCTAAACCTAAACTAAGACTCCCAGTCGCCTTGCTCCTTTATTCCCCTCTCTCTTGCTTTTCAACATTCATCTCAAGCAGCCGTGGTCTCCAACGGCTACCTCCCAACGCCACTGCTCCAACGGCTAAACTTTACGGCTTTCTTATCTCATCGGCCACCACATCATGGTGGGCAGACCATACCGACGAACCATGCAACATTACCCTGAACTAAACTAAACTCGAACAATTCTAAAGGTCTAAGCAAATGACCCCTAAACCTCTATTCCTGACTCCAAAAGATGGAGAAACAGAGCCCTAAACTCTGGTTACCTAACGAGAACGACCTCCCTACTCCGGCGAAGACCCAAACACAGCAGGGTAAGCTAGATCGAGACCTTCCTTTTCTTATTTTGTTTAGAAAAATAAGTAAAAAAAAACTAAAAAGATATAGATGAAAAAGGGAAACCTTGAAAACCTTTTGCTTCTATTGCTTATCTTGAAAGAAATAGGGTCGAGAGTCCCCTTACAATTTTTTTTTCTTCAAATAATTGGATAAGGGCCTGGGGAGCGGAAGTGTGACCAAGAAACCTATGAAAAGCGATAAGACATTCACCTGTTGAGGAACGGAGAAGGCCCCCAGCTGAACTTTTCTTGGAAGAGAGAGATAGTGCGCCATCAGTGTTAACATATATCCAGCCATCAACAGGAGGAGACCATTTAACGGAAATTGGTTGAAGGCAAGCAGAATTCTTCAAATGAATAGGGCTCTCGTGGTAAAACTTACTCCATGATATCCCGACATGGATGGCTGTAGCCGGATCAGAATTAGTTCCGTTGAAGACGTGATTATTCCGATCTTTCCAGAGTTTGAATCTCATGAAAAGTAATTGCAGGTGTATACTTCTTG